CCCCCCCCCCCATCCCGATTAAATGCCTCTCCATTCATCAAAACTTTTTTTTTTTTTAAATTCCTACAAACCCTTCTTGCACATCCCACCCCCATGCGGCATGCAATGCACACGCAATATGCCTCACAGGACAAGCAGCTGCGCAGCCTTACACAGAAAGCATCCTCTGTTGGCGACATTAAAATGAGTTTGTTGAGTTGTCTTAATGTGGCTGTTATTGGGCGGAATAAGAAAATTTGTAGACAATGGGGCTAGGCTGAAATGATAGAGCGACTAGCTCTATCGCTAATTATCTGATGTCTAATGTGTGACAAATGGGCACAGACTTAGAGGGGTTAATAGGTGAGAGAGAGCAGCATTCTGTGGAAAAAGAAAGAAGAAGAAAAAAAATGGCAACCATGGAAGTGCTGTTTTGGTGCTAAGATGCTACATGATTGTTCAGGTGAACATAATCCAGGTATATGTAGGAAACATGAGGTGGAAAAAATGTATTTATATTTTAATATTACTTCTGCCAGAATATAGATATAATGAGAGTTGAAAGGGAAAGCGTAAGGAAAAGAGATGATAGAGAAATATGAATCCATATGTTAACTGGTCTTGAGCTGGACCATGAAAAGAAAAGAACTGACCAAAAGTAGACAAACAAAAGACAAACAATGCAAAGAAAAAATAGAAAGTAACATCACCACACTTAGTTGGCTGTGGCTGTAAGAAAGCGGTCCTGCCTGAAGGCTCTGCTGTCTCTCGTCAGGACAGACAAGATCGAAGGTTAAAATCAGTGGAGCTAGGTGGTTCATTGTTCTGTGGACTGGTTGGAAGGTCAAAGGTCAGGATTTCTCTCATTGGCAATGGAGCTTAGGGAAAGTGGTGGGGGAGGTAAGGGATAAACACAGAGATGGCGACCTTCTGGAAAAACTGTTCCAGTAATAATTATCAAGGGGCAGATTAAGATGTCAGGGAGGATTTGCCAAAACCATGAATGTGAAGCATGTCAGGTTGTTCAGCAGGAGGACTGAGGGTCCATCTTTTAGTTCAGGGAGGAGGCTTTTAGGAAAAAAAGGTTGAGGGTAAAACCCAAAAGAAGAGTAGAGAGTGAAGAGAGACAGAGTAAATCAAAGAATAGAATACATAGAAAGAATAAAAACATGTTTCACTGAGAAAGAGAAAGAGGTAGAGGTATAATACCAGGGTCAAATAATACATTTAGTCAACATAGATATTTTTTTCTTATTAGTGTAATCAAGAGGAGATTTAAATATTTCTTTATAGGTCAAAACTAGGCTATGGAAATTAGTTTGGTGTATCTTCCTTCACTGACAACCTCTCTGACACATTATAAATGCACTCATATTTAAGCCCCATCCATGTGGAACTGTAAATGGTTTACATTATCAGTACTATTTGACCCCAGGTCTGCCATAGAAGGAGGAGGGAGGGTTGGATAAAGCAATGGTTAGCGATGGAGTGATCTCCTGTGACTACAGGCTGTTTGGCCGGCTGCCCCCTGAGGCTCACAGTGATCTGCCAATGGTGTTTCATGAGAAGGTAAATTTGTTGTTATCATTCTGTATATTTCTATTCTGATAACAATTTGTGTAAGATTAATTGTGTCTGTGCCGATTATACGACAGACAAGGGGTTTGTGCATGGGGTTGTTGGTGGTGGTGGTGGTTATCAGTCATGCAGAAGGCAGGTGAGGGAGTGTGTATGTGTGGGGAGGGGAGCAATATGCAGAGATGAGGGGGGCTGGAAACAGAATAGAACTGCATTGACGACAGAACCAAAGGACAAAGAGAAGATTGGACTTGCAGATAGGAAAGGCTGCTTGGGGGCTTGGAGCTGCTACATGAAGGGTAACGGAAAAAGAACTGCTTCTGTATGGCAACCAAAGGCTCTCTGAGGAAAACACATCACTGACACAAGCCCTTCTGCTCTCTCTACCATTAGAAATAACAGATAATATCTATGTGAGGATTGATATCACATAATTCTGTTGTGTGTTTGTGTGCATGTGCGTGTGTGTATGTGTTTGGCCCGCCAATGCCACAGGGACGGGAACGAGTCAGGAGGCACGTAGGGTCTAGCCGGACGTTCCAAGCTCCTGCCGCTGCACACGCATGTTTTCTGTGTAAGGAGTTTGTGTTGGTTGGTGTGTGTTTGTTTAGCAGTGTCTATATGTGTCAAATGTTTGCCTAATTAAGGAATATCTTTAATGTTTGTTTTATACTTATACGTTTAAATAATTGCAATTGTGTATACACTTACAGCCGTCACTTTACTGGAAGAATAAAATGGCATTATTGATTATAATGTGCGTGCCTTTTGCATGTTTGTGTAATTGAGCTTGTGTGTCCATCATACACGGCGCAAACGAGCTGAGAAGGTCACTCTCTTCGTCCCCTCCTGTGGATACACACCCGCCTAAACCCCTTCACCCTAATTGTCTTGCTCCCCCCCCCCGCCAATCCCACACCACCACACAACGCCACAACACCGACCAGCCCACCCCCACTTTCCACGAAAAAAGAAACAGAAACAGAACCAAAGAAACGACGACACTAAAGTTTACATCACGTTGAGCGCTTAAATCCCTGGCCCCTCCCCTCCTTGCCCCCCCTCCAACCCCACCCCACCCCCGCCCACCCAC